TTCCAAATGAATTTTTGGATTGTTTTCTTAAGGTCCATGAAGTATGCTGCTGGGATTTCAATTGGGATTGCATTGAATCTATATAGTAGTTTTGGAAGTATGGCCATTTTCCCTATATCTTTAAATATGTTTATACTTCTGTTTCTTAGTTATCAGTTTTGAAAGATGTCTTAAAATTTAAAGGCCGTGGTGGCACATGCCTGTAATCCCAGCACTCAGGAGCTGGGGAAGAAGGATTACAAATTTAAGGCCAGCATAAAATGTGTAGGCAGTACAAGGTCAGCCTGAGCTACACAGCAAAACCTTGTTTTAAAAACAAAAACACCCAGGTGTGGTGACTATAATCCCAGTACTTGAGGCTGAGGGCGGATTATCTCGAATTTGAGGCCAGCCTAATTTACATGGACCTGACTCAAACAAAGCAAAACAAAACAAAAGAATCAAATTTAAAGCCATGGAAATTCAAAAGTCCATATACTTATACTATCTTCTCTACTAACTTGTTAGCTATATTATTTCTTTTTTTAAGCTATATTATTTCTTGACTCCTTTTTAACCATTTATTTCCAACTCCTTCACTTGCTTTTTGCAACCTGTCCTATTTTTACCAAGCTAGCATCCTTTATTTCTCTAAACTAACCTTCACTTTGGAGATAATTTATTTTTTTAAACACTTTTTCTGTTATCTGCCATTTCCTCCAGTTGTCTTATCATTTCTTTGAATGATTGCATCTTTCCTTTGATCTCTACTTTTTTTTTTTTGGTACCGGGTATCTAACTCCGGTCCTTGCACTTGGGCAGCAGGCGGCAAAACCACAGCTAAATCCTGGCCCCTTTGATCTCTGCTTTTTGATCTCTACTTTTTGATCTCATTTTAAAATGTACTAAGCCCTTTGAGTTCATTGTGATTAGCATTGTTTCATGTTAATTTTCTCTCCTTCCTTCCTGCCTGACTGCTTTCTTTGTTCCTTTCCTTCCCTCCCCCCTTCTCTCTCTCTCTCTCTTTCCCTCTCCCCTCCCCCTCCTTTCATCTGTCATTTATTTTTCTTGTTCACTGCCTCCCTCTCCTGTTTTTATTTTTTTATTTTTTTGGTACTGGGGATCGAACTCGGGACCTTGGGCTTGCAAGGCAGGTGGCGGCACCACTGAGCTAAATCCCCAGCCCCTTATTATATAATCTTAACAAAGTCTCACTGCATAACACATAGGAATGTTCTCAATACTACAATGATTTAAATGTATCAGTTTCTTTATTACTATAGATCCTCTTTAAATGAAATAATTGCGGGGTGTAGTGGTGCACACCTGTAATCCTAGCACAAGATTACAGGCATATACCACCATGCCCCACAAGAAAAAATATTTTAGATCCCATTTTCTCTACTTTTAAAAGGGCCCCAGGGGTCTGGGGATGTAGCTCAGTGGCACCCTGTGCCTGCCAAGATTGTGCCTGTGCAAGATCCTGAGTTTGATCCCAGTACCAAAAAAAAAAAGGACCCCAGAGTCATTTCTCTTTTTTTATTTTA